AGAGGTTTGTAGGCTGATAAAGCACAGCTGTTGGATAGAGAGAAGCTCAGATTGAGGCATCTGTGAGTGATCCAGGTAATCACTGCCCACGAAACGGTTGTGTGCACAACCTTGAAGCAGTTGTCTCTTCATAGCCTCTTGACCAGTGGTTCTCAACCTGTGGGTCGCAACCCCTTTATAACAAAGAAAATACATCGCAGCATTAGGAAGGTTGAGAACCACAGCTCTTGACTATTAGAAATAATCTTGCAAACACCACCCAACTTCCCAAACCATGGAAAATGGAATATTTTGAGAGATAACCCAGTGAAAACTCAGTGTTGAAAACCAACTTGGCAGACAAAATTATCCATTTCTGGAAGAGGGAAGAATGCAAACAAGTCTAGATTTCTTTCTTTAGTTGCAGATACAACTACATGGAAGAAACAAAACTCATGGAATTCCCCATCTACACCTGGCAGCTCTGGGCAGCGAAAACGGAAGATTCAGCTACTGCCTTCTAGGCGAGGGGAACAGCTCACTTTGGTATGGTTTTGTCCATCTACTCCTGCCCACTCCAGCTTTGCTGTTCTGAGACTCAATAAGACTAACTACAGGTTAGTTAGTCAGTCAGGCAGTTTCTTCTGACTGACCTGACTTCTCCTTTTTCTCTTTGGTAGCCTCCACCTCCCCAACTTGGCTATTCAATCACTGCTGAAGACCTGGACTTAGAAAAGAAAGCTTCATTGCAATGGTTTAACAAGGTTTTGGAGGATAAGACTGGTAAGGAGTACAGATCAATTGTACACTCTGGAGAGATTTTTTTCCTTTTTTCTAAGACAGAGTCTCACTTTGTCACCCTTGGTAGAGTGCTATGGTGTCACAGCTCACAGCAACCTCCAGCTCCTGGGCTTAGGTGATTCTCTTGCCTCAGCCTCCCAAGTAGCTGGGACTACAGGCACCCGCCACAATGCCCCGCTGTTTTTTTGTTGTCATTGTTGCAGTTTGGCCAGGGCCAGGTTTGAACCTACCACCCTCGGTATATGGGGCCAGCGCCCTACTCACTAAGCCATAGGTGCCGCCCAACTCCAGAGAGATTTAAATTCTCTGGTTTTATTTTGGTGTCATTTTTTAAAAATGAGGTTCTCTCAAAGAAGACTTCATATTTTCTCAACTGAGAAATCCATGTGGGTCTTCACTGAAACCTGGCCACCTGTGCAGTGGAGGGGAGGCATTCCTAGATGAGTTGTTCTGCAGCTCTGAGCATCCTCTGCTCTCTGATAAGCCATCTGAAGAGAAGTCCCAAATAAGCAAGAACAGTTTTCTCTTTTCTTTCTTCCTCAGATGCTGCCTCAGCTTCTGTTACTGAGACTCCACCTACCACTCAGCCTTCATTTACCTTTACCCTCCCTACTGCCGGAACTGCCTCCTCCCTGGCCTCCCTCCCATCCCCAAGCACTAACCCACTGTTAGAGAGCTTGAAGAAAATGCAGAATTCCCCAGGCCTCCCATCCTTCCCAGGTGAGTGCAAGAGATGGTTTTGGAGCATCAGCCTTTGCTTAGGTTTAAGGAAAATCATCATGCCTGTCAGTCATTGGAGATTATTTCAAAGATTGAACACATTCTGACTTACCAAACCTGAGCTAGTTAAGCTTAAAGACTTGAGAATTTTCTAATCAGGAAATTTTAGGTAAGGTGTGCTGCAACAGTTAAACCCAAGGAATGCAGCTTAATCTCTTAATCAGAGACCCAGTTTCTTGGCTGCTCTGAGCCTTGCTGTTATGATTTGTAAAATGGGAATAACAGTGTTCTCTTGTGAGGGGTTTTTGGGCATGTGATGATGTGGTTGTTACATGCTGATTAGAACCCTGGGTGCAGCATAACACTAATTCCTTTTTTCTCTCTAGGCCAGTGGTTCTCAACTTTCCTAATGCCACAACCCTTTATACAGTTCCTCATGTTGTGGTGACCCTCAACCATAAAAATATTTTCTTTGCTATTTCGTAACTATAATTTTGCTACTGTTATGAATCATAATATAGATATCTGATATGCAGGAGACCCCCAAAGGGGTTGCAACCCACAGGCTGAGAACCGCTGCTCTAGGCTTTCAAGGATCTCTTGAGTGTTCTAGGCTGGTGCCTTCATGGCACTGCCTGAATGTACACCTCTCTCTGTTACTGTAGTTTATCACACAGTGGCAGAGGGTTAGTGTTCACCCTCACAGCTCAAGATCAGAGACTCACTCATTTTACACTCTTTACTGAGTGCCTGGTAGATGAGCATAGTAAATATTTCTTAGATACTTAAGGTATATCTAGATGAGTAACTGAACTTGAGTTCAGGTGATTGGACTTAGTGTAATTTCCATACATTTGGATTTACTTCACAAGCCTGGGATATAGGCTTAGCTGTATTTACTGATTGACTCTTGAGCCCTAGAACTGTGGTTGGCTTGGGAAGGATACAGAAATATTGAAAGTATTCAACTGTACTTTTTCTACTCTTCCTAGAATCTTCTGGAGTGGCAACCACTGAGGCCCATTCACCTCCAAAGACACCCAGCCTTCTGGCCCCTCTTGGCTCTTCACAGTCAGGGCCCCTTCCAGGCACCTCTACAGACTCGAAATCAACAGTCACATTCATGAGTCTGGTCCCTACTTCTTCCACGATACCAGTCACTGACATCAAGTCACCTCCAGTCCTTCCAACAGAGACAGCTGCCAAACCCCAAGCCCCGTCTGCCCCATCCCCCACCCCTAAGCAAGGTTTTTTATTTGGAATGCTGAGCACCCCACCTTCTAATCCTCCTTCTGTTGTTCCTGCTGTGTCTTCAGCATCTCCCATGTTCAAGCCCATTTTTATGGCCCCACCTAAGAGTGAGAATGAAGGCCCTGAGCCATCTGGCCCTTCAGTCACAACCACAGCATCCTCCACCTCCACCCTCCCCACGACCTCCAGTACCTCGTCCCTGACTTTCCAGCCTATCTTTAGCAGCACAGGGCTGCCTCCATCTGCGCCCTTGTCAGCTCCCATCTTCAAGCAGACGACTACTCCAGCCACTGTTGCAGCCACATCAGCCCCTCTCTTCACTGGGCTGGCCACTGCCACCTCTACAGTGGCATCCATCAGCACAGCCAGTACCTCTGCAGACTCTGCTTCAAAGCCTGTTTTTGGCTTTGGTGTAAACAGTGTGAGCAGCACCGTGAGCAGTGTGACAAGCACCACCACTTCCATTGCACAGCCTTTCCTCTTTGGGGCACCCCCTGCCTCTAGTGCCAGCTTTACCCCAGCCATGGGCTCCATATTCCAGTTTGGAAAGCCACCTGCCATGCCTGTATCAACCACAATCACCACCTTTGGCCAGTCCCTCCCCAGTGCTGTTCAGACAGCCACGAGCAGCAGCACTGCCAGCTTCAGTGGCTTTGGCAGCACCCTGACCACCTCAGCCCCAGCCACCACCAGCCAGTCTGCACTGACGTTCACTAACACGACCACCCCAGCATTCAACATTCCCTTTGGCTCAAGCACCAAGCCTCCTCTCCCATCGTATCCTGGAGCCAACCCCCAGCCTGCATTTGGGGCCACTAATGGGCAGCCACAGGGGGCCACCAAGCCTACCCTTGCCCCAAGCTTCGGCAGCTCTTTCACATTTGGAAACTCTGCAGCTCCAGCCCCAGCTGCAACTCCAGCGCCAACCCCAGCCCAGTCAGCCTTTGGCAGCACTACGCATTCAGCTTTCGGTGGGTTGAAAACCTCAGCCTCTGCCTTTGGCACACCTGCCAGCACTCAGCCAGCCTTTGGTAGCACCACAGCTGTTTTCTCCTTTGGTGCACCCACCACATCTGGCTTTGGAGCTACAACCCAAACCACCAGCAGTGGGACCAGTAGCTCAGTGTTTGGTCCTTTCACGTTTGGGGCATCAGCAGCCTCAACTGGCAGTGGGGGCTTTGGGATCAATGTGGCTACCCCAGGTGCCAGCTCTACCTCTGGAGCGTTTAGCTTTGGAGCAGGACAGAGTGGGACCACAGGCACCACCACCCCGTTTGGGGGGAATTTAGGTCAGAACACCCTGGGCACACCCAGCCAGAGCACACCCTTTGCCTTCAATGTGGCCACACCTGACAACAAACCTGTGTTTGGAGGTAAGTGTGGGAACGCACTTGGTTTGCTGGGCCAGCTGCTGTTGTAAGAGCAAGAACAGGCTCTGTTCTTAGAGAGTTTTCGTGGTGGTAAAAAGATAGATGTTAAATATGGAAGTCAATTAAATGTCAGGTAGCAATAAAATGTTTTGATAAGGTGTGTAATTACCAACTCAAGAAGCCATTATGGATTAAGGTGGACGTGAACAAGGAAGGCCTTTCTGAGAAAGTAAAAAAGTTGAGCTGAGAATATTTGGGTCACTAAGAAAGTTTTGAAACAGACTGTTGTGTGATGGTCCATTATTTCACTTCCAAGAAACCCGTGCAAGTTTCAACTTGCCTTGGCTATGGCTGTTGCTGGGAGGACTTCTTTTCTTTCCATCTGCACAGATTTACATTTCTTGGTTTTTGTACATCTCAAAAACTTTCCTTATGACCCACATGTATTTGCCACAAAAGCAGGCTAAGAGGGAGCAGGGGTGAGGGAGGAGTGTTTGTGTGTGAGAGAGAAAGGGGGGGAGGGAGAGAGCTCAAAAGCGAGATTCTGCAGTGCAGGCACAGGAAATTACCTAGTGCAAAGGCCCAGGGGCTGAAACAAGCTGGCATGTTCATGAATAGAGAAAAGGCAGGTGTGGAAGGAGGGATAACAATGGAGGAAACATGTAAAAGAGCTGTAAGGTAGTTGGAGGTCAAGATCATTCATAGTCAGCACTTGGTGTTTTTGAGTTTTAAGTATTAAGGGAAATCATAGAATTTTCAGTAGAAGTCTTATCTGCCATGTGGAAGACAAATTTTGGTCCTAGTAACTTCTGTTTTTTCATTAAATATGAAAGAACTTAGAAGTGAGTCAGAGAAACATTAAAAGGAGGGCCTCTTGAAATAGGCATTTTGAACAGGGGGAAAAGGAACAAAAAGTGTAGGCTGAGCACAGTGGCTCACACCTATAAACCTAGCACTCTGGAAGGCTGAGGCGAGTGGATTTGCCTGAGCTCCCAGGTTCGAGACCACCCTGAACCAGAGCAAGACCTTGTTTCGGCCATTGTGGCGGACGCCTATAGTCCCAGCTTCGTGGGAGGCTGAGGCAAGAGAATCACTTGAGCCCAAGAATTTGAGGTTACTGTGAGCTATGACGCCATGGCACTGAACCAAGAGTGACAGTGAGACTGTTTTCAAAAAAAAATAGTGTAGCCAGGTGCGATGGTTCATGCCTATGATGCCATCGACTTAGGAGGCTGAGGTGGGAGGATTGCTGGATCCTAGTTTGAGACCAGTTTGAGCAGCATTGCAAGACCCCTGTCTCTAAAAAAAAAGAAAAGAAAAGAGAAAATCAGCCAGGTGTGGTGGCACACAGATGAGGTAGGAGGATCACTTGAGCCCAGGAGTTAAAGGCTACATAGCCCAGGAGCTATGATGATGCCACTGCACTGTAGCCTGGGTGATATAAACGCTGTCTCAAAAAAGGGGGCAGGGAGAAAGCATAATAAATTGGGTGGGCAGTTTTGTGGGTTGGAAAATTGTGTTCAAAGTGAGGCCAGTCAGTGGCCTTCCTTACCTACCTGACCGATGCTTGTTGAGATGTAGACCTAAAATAAGTAGGTGGCTGGCAAAACCCAGCCTGTGGAAACTCAAATAGCAGCAGAGGGCAGTGGACCAGAGGCCTTGATGAAGTTGAGGAAATGCAAGAAGTAGGAAAACTAGAAAAAGTGAGCTAGAGAAGAATGTAGTAGCAGTTTGGATGCTGGAGCAGTTCCTGGGGGTGACAGGGTGATCATAGGAGTAAGTGGAAGAGTTAGGATAGAGGAAAAGCTCATTGGGGAAGCAGGGTGAGGGGGCTAGAGAGGATCATCAGTCATTCTCACAGATGATGGTCATCGGAGTGGTAATGGGGGTGCTAGAGAGGGTGCAGCAAGCCAGGTGTCCTCCATGAATGAAGGGGAGTGGCCTGGCAGTTGAAAGATGGCACAAGGACAAGGCACCAAGTCTGATGACCTGAACTTCAAACAAGTTGGGGTATTTGAAGATGAGAATGTCCCATTAGAGAGCAGGAAGATGTCTGCACTTATAAGGCCCCAAGACCTATCCACACGAGGGAGATGAGCCTGGCCTTGAGAGGGGAAAAGCACTGTGAGGATAGGATAGCTCAAATTAAGTTAGGGCAAGGTAAGGGGAGGGGAGTTCTGTGGTGTTCTAGAGAGCACCATGAGAAGATAAGGGGCCAACAGGGTGAAGTGATGCTGAGTTTATGGCATCTAGAGGGGAGACATAACTAGGGAGAAGCAGTATAACAAAATCAATCCTGATTGAAAATAGGTAAGCCAGTCAAGCCAGGACTGTGGTGGTCCTCTCTTCACAGTCCTGGTCATCAAGGGACTGCCTTACCTGACTGGAGGAAGGCAGCAGGAGGGGCTTTCTCTACAGCTGCAGCACTGCCATTAGCAGTCTTTGAGAGAAGGCAGGCAAGCACCACTTGTTAAGATGTTATCTCACTATCTCACACAGGGAAGGGGGGAGGCATCCTGCTGTGGAAATCTCCTGCAGCAGACAGACCACCTCACTGCCTGCTCTGCAGCTGTCTGCTATCTGATCTCTTCATTCTAGGCACCTCCACTCCCACCTTTGGTCAGAACACCCCTACCCCTGGAGTGGGCACATCAAGCAGCACCCTCTCCTTTGGGGCATCCTCAACACCTACCCAAGGCTTTGTCGGAGTTGGACCCTTCGGTAAGCAGCAAGTCTCTGTTGCTAGCAAAACCTGTATTTCTCCTCCCAGGCAGATTGGGGTGGCTGGTAGTTTCTTAGCTCTCTGAGGCCCTGAGATCAGGCTCAGTGTGGGAAAGGTGCACTTGGGCTGGGAGTTCATACAACCCAGCTAAGGGAGTTGGACAGTGGAGATCAGAAAGGAGCCATCTTGGGTAGAAGTTCCCAGATCACTTGGGAAGCTGGACCTAAGTAGGTTTGTGAGCCTCTCATTCTTAGACCTTCTCTGGGATTTTGCATTAATAGGCCCCTCTGCACAGTGCTCATGTAGCTTGAGAGGCACCCAGTATTCTATTATTGGCCTAACTTTGAGACAGCAGCAGCCCTGATGAGATCTTGTTGAATTTTTCCAGGATCGGCGGCCCCTTCATTTTCCATTGGTGCGGGATCCAAGACCCCAGGGGCTCGACAGCGACTGCAAGCTCGAAGGCAGCACACCCGCAAAAAATAGCCTTTGTCCCTTGACCCTGTTTCCCCACCCCTTCCCCAAATCTGGACCTTGGCACCTGCTAAGAAGAGCCTTTGACCTTTCGAGTTCCATAAAGCAAATCTGCCCCAGATCTCTGGCTTTAGGCACCAGCAGGGTAGTGGCAGCCTTGGTGTCCTTTGCCTTCTCCTGGAGGAAGTACCAGCCTTGGGGAGGGGGAGGCTGGTTATGGCAGGGCAGAGCCTGAGACCTTTACTTGAACAATCCCACTGGTGAGGCTGGAGAACTAAGGAAACATCTGTATATACCGTTCACTCAACTTCCCTGACTCTTGCTTAGTGTGTAACTATAGTCAGGCGGCCGCCCTGCCCACCTTTTCCCTGAGAGCCATCATTGCTGGAGCAAATAAGGTGCAGCCCACTTGGATCTCTATGCATTTGATGGGATTGGGGGAAACTGATTATCCTTAAAGCTTTTCCTTGCTTGGCTTGGCTATAAGAAGTGGCTCTCTTCCTCAGGTCCCTTGATGGGGCCTCTTTCCCCTTATCTTGCTGCTTTATCCCTCACTGGTTCCTTGTAGGATTTAATCCTTTTTAAAATGATCTTGAATCTAGCTTTGCCTTGGAGACCCCAGTGGGTGCTGCTCCTGCCGTTTTCCTCCTGCCAATTCTGAGTCAATGTTTCATCTCTAAACCTCTCTGCCAGTTTGGCCCCTAAAAGCTTGGTGGCTCAAGACTGTTAGCCTGGCAGAGCCAGGGGTGAGATACCTCGCTCCAGGAGGAAAAAGCTCTTGGAGCAGGCAGGACGCCCACCGCTGCTTTCAGCTGCCTCCTCCCCCACCTAGCCGTTGGCCTCATTGGGCCCTGTCTGCCTCTCCAGGATTGTATGTCAAGCCTTGTCCTGTGTTATTTGTCTGATGCTCATGTCTATTGCTCTTTGAATCGAGTTTGGAGGAAGAATTGAATCGTATGAGTGGCGGCATGTTGGTAATGCCGGACTTAACTGTTTCAAGTTTTCTGGGGCTTAATTGAATGTGGAAAGTAGCACCGCTTTATGGCTACAAGTGCTGACTCCTGAATTTTCAAATGGTGTTTTGACTTAAGGGCTGGCAGCCCAGGAGGGTGGGTTCTGGGGGAAGCAAATACCTTCCTGCTATTATTTCTTTCCCACTTACCTAACCTCACTGGAAGCTAAATAACCCCTACTATATGTTGGGAAACATAAATTAATGAACCATAGTTTTAGGTTGTACCTTAGTTATTTTTCCCTGACAAGGAAATCCATCCCCTTTTCTTCCTTTGTTCCACAATCACCCCAGGCCCAAGAGCCTTGCTGCCATGCCCATCCTCTTTGGGAGAAGTATGAATGCGTGTGTCTAAATTAAAAGAAAAATATTTAAACATTTTTTAACAAAATAAAAATTTATTTTTGTATTTAAGCTAAATTGCCTTTTAAATTCCTTCAAGCTTGGTTCATTGAGGTGGTTAAGTATAAACGCTACTGACTAGAAATTAGCTGTATAGTTAAGTTATGCCTGTGTGAAGAGGAGGCTCACGTGCTGTCTCAGGCAGCTTTCCCGAGGGACTAGAGCTCCTTCTGGACACATTATATAAAACGTAACTCTTATTTTATAAATAGTGTGATGTAGACGTAACTGTCCCTCCCTCCCCCTTAGTGACAGGGGTTGAATGCTTTGTGGTTGGGGACTGCTCCTCCCCACCCCCCAGAAGAGCTCTGAAGTCCAACATGTTAATAGTTGGCTTTAAGCTGAGGAAGGAGCCTGAACCTCAAGTCCCAAATTACCCATTAGGATTGGAGGAGTGGGGATGGGGCATACATATAGAGACCAACTTCTACCTGTACCTTACGTAAGGTAGATCCCCTCTTAGTTTTAGTACTCTGAGCTAGTTTACCTCAGCTCCGCAGGCAGGACAGTTGGCCCAGGAACCCACTCCCCCCAAGGAGGGCATCCTGGCATGGTGTGAGTGTGTGAGTGCGTACATGTATGCCTACTGGACAGGAACGGGAGGCTGGGACTTTCCATTACAAATGAAAACTTTATTCCTGTTGAGTCTAGTTGGAATTTTTAGTATGAATGTGAGATATTTTTTTCCTGCTTATGTCATTAAGAATAAAAAAAAACTGTGATCTATCATGGGCCATGTTCTGCTTTTTATTTTTGTGACCAGCAGTTCTCTCAGCAGCAAGAACACAGTCCAGGGCGCCCTAAATGACTGAGAAATTCACTCTGCCTTTCCAGCTGCAGAAAAAAAGTCACTCACTAACTTCCTACAGCAGAATTTCCTACTGCTTGACTAAAAGTCAAAGCTTTGAGCACCTACATGCCAGATGGTATGCTAGGTAGGACCAACTACTGCTTTTTACCGTCTTTTCTTTCTCTTTGGGGCGGGGCTGGGCGTGAGGTCTGGTGCCAGTGCTTCAGCTTGTGAGACTGAGCTAGAAAAAAAGCACAAAAGTTAGCTGTGGTGTGGGCCAACCATCCAGCACCTTCCAAGCAGCCCACTCCCCCCCCCACTCACCTAGGCACTTCTACCCGTTCAATGACAGCAATGAAGAAGCCACCAGTGAGTGTGGTCTCAGGGGAGGCCCGGAGGCAGTGCTCAGCGCCCGGGAAAGTACCAAGGCCTCGGTGGGGCCAGGAGGGCAGGACAGGAACTAGCCTGGGAGAAGAAATAGCACAGATTCAAGTTAAAAGGGAACAGCTAACCTCCCCCCACCCCGCCCCAAGACCCTAGGGAGCACCTATTACCTAAAGGCCCCTGGGTTCTGCTGTAGGGCGTCTCGTACCACCTCCTCATTCTCCTCTTGGCAAAGGGAACACGTGGAATACACGAGGCGCTGCAAGGAGGGGAAACTGAGTGCATGGCATAGAGCTCGCTGTTGGAACCCTGCCAGCGCACACAAGCGTTCCTTGCTAGGTGTGCCTGCCCCTGGCTCCTCCAGCTGTCTGGTCAACATACCTGAGGAGAAGAGTGTTTTAATTATGTAGCTTTACAGCTTGCCTTATTTTATACAGAAGTCCTCATTTCATCCATGAAAACTTTAATCCAGCCTCCCAACACCATTAAAGGATCAGTTCTAAGACAAAAAAACAAACTACTTCTTCAGCTTCAGGTTACTCTGGACCTGTGAGTCCCTCAGCCACCTTCCTCCCCATCTCACCAGAGCCACTACAAGAAGGGTCCAGCAGGATGTAGTGGACCTGACGATAACGTGGGTCTGAAGGTGAGACTGCCAGGAAGTCCTTCTCCGCCAGCTCGCAGCAAGAGACTCCAGCCCGAGCCAGCAGAGTGGCCATAAATGCCAGCCGCTTGGCATCCAGATCAAAAGCAAAGATCTTCCTGGGTTAGAGGGCAAAGTGGGGGTGAGCTGAGAATTTATGGAGTACTAAGTGCCTATAGCTCTGACATATTCAACAAGTATGTTAAGTCAGGACACACAGCAAATAACATTTAAATGGTGTACAAAAGTCCAGGATCAGAGGTAACTGCTCAAGGGCTAAGGAATCCATATCTCACACCTGCAACCCACTGGGCAGCTTAGCTTGGGGCTAATACCACAAACTGCTGTAGGTTCAGCAGGAAAATACGGAGTGTCCTTCATTACCTACTGAAGAATACAGATCGACCCCATCCCCTTCCCACCTCCTGTGACACTCACCCTTGGTTCTTCATAAGAGCAGCCAAGTGACTGGTCTTATTGCCTGGAGCAGCACATGCATCAATGACATGGGAGCCTGGTGGAGGAGCCAATAGCATGGCTGGGAGACAGCTGGCCTGGCAGAACATAGCACACAAGTCAGGTGGCCAGAGACCCCAGGCTGGTACCTCCCCCACCTTCCCTTTTTCCACCCATCTTCCCTACTTTGTCTTGAAGAATGAAGTGACCAGCTCGGTACAGTGGATGTTCATGTAGATCTGTCTGGGCAGGAAACACAAGCAACTCTGGCAACAAGGGATCCAGAAGAAAATGCTTCCCTTTGAGGGCCCTTAAGTCATCAAGGCTGTCAGGGAATTAGAACCATGAATTCAACATTTCCTGAATTCCTCCATGCCAGGCCCCATATTTTATTTTATTTTTGTGAGACAGAGTCTCACTTTTTTGCCCTGGTAGAGTGCCCTGGCGTCATAGTTCACAGCATCCTCTAACCCTTGGGCTCAAGTAATTCTCTTGCCTCAGCCTCCCAAGTAGCTGGGACTACAGGTGCCTGCCACAATGCCTGGCTATTTTTAGAGATGGTATCTCGCTCAAGCTGGTCTTGAACTCAAGCGATCCACCCTCCTTGGCCTGGGATTACAGGTGTGAGCCACTGCACCCGGCCTGCCAACCCCCATTTTAACTGTTTCTCATGCAAAAAATAATTGAAATGGCTATGAAGAAATCAGACAGTCATAAGAGAGAGGCAGTAGAGTCAGTTAAGAGAATGGGTTTTCAGCTTGGCAAATGTGGCTCAAGTGGCTAAGGCGCCAGCCACATACACCTAAGGTGGCAGGTTCGAATCCAGCCCGGGCCTGCCAAAACAATAATGACAGCTGCAACCAAAAAATAGCCGGGGGCTATGGTGGGTGCCTGTGGTCCCAGCTACTTGGGAGGCTGAGGCAGGAGACTCGCTTGAGCCCAGGAGTTGGAGGTTGCTGTGAGCTGTGATGCTACGGCACTCTACCCAGGGGAATAGCTTGAGGCTCTGTCTCAAAAAAAAGAGAATGGGTTCTCAGACCAGACTGACTTAGGTTTAGGAACCCACCTCTACTGTTTACCAGCAGTGGGAGCACAAGCAAGTCATTTCATCTCCATCCCCAATTTGCATTTCTGTAATATGGTAGGTGTAAGGATTAATGAGTTAATAAATCCAAAGCACGTACTTGCCAGGGATTAAGCACTCAATAAATGTTAGCAATTACTGTTAAAGCACAACCTTGGGGAAAGGTTACAGGGTACAGGAAGAGGTAAGAGCTGAGCTGATTCCTGAGGGACAAGGAGTTGGTAGTATGAGGAGCTTAGGTTAAAGCTATAGTCACTGTAGCTCCACAAAGGAGTATTGTCCATTCCACCTGACCAGTACAGAAACAGGCTCTGAAAATCACACACTTCTGTTCAGAAAGCTATCAAGTGCCTGAGCTGGAATTCAAACCCATACAAAGCCATTCAACACTAGTCCACCTTGGGCTCCCAGAAACAGGCTAGAGGCCAAAGGAAAAATATCTAAAACATATTGGGACATTCTTCTTAGTACTAAGTATTGTAAGAATGGAGAAGCAAGAATCCAGTGTACTCAATTCAAATATGAAGGCAGTAGACAATCTAATACCTATCATCATAAGAGAAAAACTCAATTCAAGGTGGGGAGGCAGAGGAACGAGGGAGCAGGGAGAGGAAGTAGGGAGGAGGATTGGGGGGGTTAAGGTGTATGGCACATCTATTGGGTGCCAGATCCAATTATAAGAGGTACTTTACCTAACAAATGCAATCAGTGTAACCTAATTCTTTGTACCCTCAATGAACCTGAAACAATAAAAAAAAAAAAGACTAGAGAAAAGGAAGAAGAGAGGCACCTTCTCAGGGCTGTCAAAGGACAAAACACGAGGTAGGTGTGAGTCCAACAGATGTGGGGAAACACCAGGGCAGGGATCAGCAACTGTGGCTGGATACCTAGCATATAGAACACCATGCAGATGGGTCTGGAGAGGAGGCAAGACAAACAACACAATGGAGAGCCAAGAGAGGGTTTCAGCTGGAGAATAACAGTGTCAGATCTGGTTTTAGATCTTTCTACAGGAAAGCACAAGAAGGAAAACACAGTGAGATAGTCTGAAGAGGGGAGACCAGTCAGTCTACAGGTTTCTTTTACCCAGTCTGATAGGAAATGAAGAATGCCTAAACCCAGGCAGTGTCCAAGAGTGGATGTGAGAAAGATGCTAAAAATAAAGTAAATAACTGGAGGGAGAGTAGGGAGATATCTAGGCTGATGCAGTTTCTGGCTTGACTGGGTGGGTGGATGATGGTGTTATCTGTTAGGTTAAAATAGGGATGCATGAGTTGTAAAGTTGAAGAGGAAAGATGGATTATTCAATTTGGCATACACAGCAATTGTGGTATCTGTGGAGCAGTTATAGGAACCTAAGGAGGTAGGAATACGAGAGAAAAGTGTATCCTGGGAGATGAGTATCACCAGCAGAGAGGTTGGAGTTAAAGCTAAAGACAAAAAACCTGACAAATACATTAGAATATAGGATGGGATTCCCAAGAGTATCCATGTTTAAAGGGATGGGAGG